AGGAAAAGAAGAAGATTATGCTGTACCTCTGAAGCAAAATGGAAAGTGCGGTCACTGGCTGGAACAATTTGAATCAGATACATTTTATGGAATAAATACCAATCTGGCTTCTTTTAGGATTATCTCAGTACAAAAAAATGACCGAAGAGAATGAGAAACTTAGGCAGAACTAGCAAAGTAATGCAAACATGGCACTCAGAACATCCCACAACTCCCTCCTGTGCAAGGCTCATCCAATGTCATCATCTCTCTTCCTTTGCCCTTTGTTATTTTTTCTGCCTTTGAGGGAGAGGGAAGCATGAGGAGATTTCAGGGATATTATTTTCTTTAGTTTTTTAAAAGGACCAGATAAAAAAAAAAAAGAACCCAGATGACCTTTGGAGTTGTGGCTGACCCTGTTTAATGAATGCTGGGCACTTGTATTGTGATGTGTCCTTTTCACTTAGATCCCATAATATCTAAATTCACAAAGTGCTCAGCAGCAAACCCATGCTGGTAAAGAAACAGATGGATGTAAATCACTGATATTTGGAGCCAGCCATTTTCATGATGCCAACTCTCATGCATTGTAAAAATGGCTAATTTCTTTCCTAACTGCCTCTGACTCACTAAGATACCATTAGCCCTCAGTTCTTTGTTTTTATCTGCCCTGCTATTTTGCTAGCACTCTGTTCTCTATACGCTTGCTTCTGTTTCTCAGGATGTTAGACAGCAAATTATCTATTCACTTTAGAGACATCCTTCCCATTTTCAAGAATGCATGCAAAAGGAAAGTTGGATAATCACTTTGTTTGTCTTCTAATTTAAAATTTACCAAAAAAAATTATGTGGGAGTTCATAAGTGTGTGTGAGGGGGAGGATCTATAAGTTTCTGCTAACAGTAGAAAGATTTACGGGTAGAAAAGAGTTGTTTAGATCACCCTTGCTGTCTCATGAGAAATACTATATGCAGATTTAAGGATCCACCTAATTTTTATGCCCGCTCACTCCTCCTTAAAAGGATTGCCAGCTTTGTCAAACAGTGAGGTTCTGGTACAGTTAGTTTTTTCCTCCTCCTGGAAAGAATGCATTGCCTTTGACTGGCTTACTCTTTATCAGCCTGGTTGTTAGGACTCTGAATCCCATCTTTAAAGTCTACTCTGTAGACGACAAAGTAGCAAATGACTGTTCAATGCCTTAGCATTGCTTTGCTTTAGCAAAAATCGGGAAGACTTCATTCTGTATTGTAATAGGTCTGGTAAAGGAAAGCCAAGAGCCTCACAGGGGGACAGCAGGTTTTTGGTTCTCAGACTGAATTTGTTTCTAAGCTTTTTCTTAATATCACAATGGCCTCTTGCTGAGTATTTCTAATGCCTCACCAATGAAGTCAGGGTATATTATGCCATCTGTCTAGGAGTCAACACTGCAGGTCAGGCTAATTTAAAGTGGCACTTTTCATCTCCCTATGCCTGTATGCATTACATTTAATAGTTTAAGTGAATGATTGTATCTCTTGACCCTGTAACAAAGGACAAAGCTCATGTTTGTATTTTTTCATTATCTTTAGTTGGCAGGAATATGGACATTTGATCCTTTCATGTAAAATATTGTTAAACCAGAGACTGGTACTCAGCTCCTGTTTAAGCAAAGCTATATAGTTTGTTTGTTTGTTTTCATTCCATCTTCTAATATTTTTGGAACTATAAGTAAGGAGGCAAATACATATGGTAAGATTCTGTCAATTTATCATTGAATAAAAAGTTTAAATGTAAAAAAAGTCAAAACTCCTATAGTCTTCTGGACCTTGACAGTGGAAAATTTATGGGGGAAACTGTTTGCCGTAAGACAAACAGAAGAATTAGGTAATTATTGTGGTGGAAAATAATGCCCATAAATACCTTGGATACTATGAAAAAAGCAATCTTAAGTCATTCTTTCTCGTTTGAAATGAACTTTGTGGAGTTAAATGTAAAGAGATGATAGCTGAATGGTCAGAATTTTCTGGTAAATGAAAAATGTGCATAATACTGGGAAAAATGTGTGAAGGTGAGTACTCAGTTTGATTTGTCTTTCATGTTTTTCCTCCTTTATTTTCTGTTATTTCTCTGACTTGCTATTTTTCCAAGGTGTCTCATTTCCATCATTTTCCTTTCTCTATTCCCTGTTGAGTAGGGGAGGGGAAGAAGGACCACACACAAATATATATTTGTTATGCACATTTGAAATTTGGAAGAGGAATGCTTCCTATGATTAGGTTGTCAATAAGCTATTTTGCCTCAGTTACAAAAACGCTATGCACCTATGGTAATATAAATCTGTCTCATCCACCCGTACTGACCCAGGCACCAAAGTTATGATTGCTTATCTGAAATTAATTTCAAAACCAATTAAGATATAGCTATGCAAATTATCTGTCTAGGCAGTATATTTATCATAAGTTTTTGTTGCATTAAAGAATCTTCTTAAAGAAAGCCTAGTCGTATTTGACAGCCACATTGACAGCATATTTGACAGCTATCCATCTATTGCCTCATTTTGATGTGAACCTTTCTTCATTAATGAAAGGTGTGGCACAATTCAATACACACGCATATACACACACAGTTTCAAATGTTAAGAAATGGAGAGACCTATTTTGACCCTCAAATCCTACTCTACGATAGAAACACAAGGTGGATAGTATTCTTTGTCATCCAAGAGACTAAGAGAAACTAAGAGAAAGCACATGAGAAAATGTGACTGAGTGGAGGGCAAGATGTAAATGTGAAGCCTGCCCAAGGTACAGCTTGTAGCTGAAAACATTTGAACTGCCAGAACGAATGTTTCTGCAGAAAGTATTAATTTCATACCTACTATATACACTAGTGATGTTACACAAGGTGGTAAGCACAGACTTATTAAGTCACTCATTAAGAAGAGAAGGAATAGGAAATACAATATGCAATAAGCATTTTTCACATAATGCTGAGTACTTTCATATGCATTCATTTAAGAAATTTCTGTGCTACAAGCAACAAATAACACAGTTTTGAACAAGGACTGAAAAACTGGAAAGAACTATAGATCTTGTGGAAATATTGGCAGCATTTTCAATGTTAATTCATTATATTTTAATGCTGTTTCTGATATCTGTGTGCATATGAAATATATTGAAATTTGATAATACTGCTTTGTGGCTTATTAATCAAAATGTCGCTTTTAAGTAATTCTAACTATTATTGTGAGTTAAATATTGTATTATAGGTAAAGGTTACCTATCCAGAAGAAAGATTCATAACTGAGAAGTAGGACTAATGGCATAATAGACCATTGGTGAAAAAGGAAAATTATGAGAAGCTGTAATGGTGACTTCATTGGATAATATAAATCTGGCTGTGTAATGATGTCACACAGAGCTGTGCCTTTAAAATGACATTAGATTAATCCACTAAAGCAAGACAAAAGAGGCTTAAAATTACATGTTAATATTAATCCTGAGCACACTGTTATCAATTGTCAAAGATGACCCTTGACAAACGTAATGGTTAAGTACCGAAATTCCCATTATCAGTAATAAAACTATTTTTAAAAATGAAGAATGAACATTTATTAATTTAAATGTGTTGTACTTACATAGCATGAGAGAAAAATGAGGTACTTATTCATTCTTGCAATTCGAATGTGTCTAGATCATATAAAGAACCATTGAGAAAGGACATTTAAAGAGAGAACACGCTGGTGGTCATTAGTAGCAAAAATATATGAGAAGTACTTGTGAGAGAGGAAATGTTGAAAAGTTGCGTAGCATCCTTTGCTTTCTGCAGATTGATTTATGTCATTCTATATTTCCCTCTAATTCAGCTTAATTCCTGTCAGTTGTGTTCAGTCAGCCCTTGCCACCATGGTAGCACATTTCTACCCATGAAGTCCTAGAGTAATTGATAACAAACACTACTGATAGTGTATATTGGAACACATTCATGTTTCACAGAATCACAGAATCATAGAGGTTGGAAGGGGCCTCTGGAGACTATCTAGTCCAAACCATCCTGCTAAAGCAGGCTCCACACAGTAGGTTGTGCCAGAAAGTGTAGAAGCAGATTTTGAATATTTCTAGAGTCTCCACAACCCTCTGGGTAATTTGCACTGTAACCCTCAAAGTAAAGATATTTCTCATGTTTAGCTGGAATTTCCTGTGTTCCAGTTTGCACCCACTGCCCATTGCCCTGTCTCTGGGCAGTACTGAAAATAGCATGGCTCCATCCACTTGACATCTCGTCTTTAAATATTTATAAGCATTCATAAGATCTCCCATCAGTTTTCTATTCTCCAGGTTGAACAGAGCCAGGTCTCTCAACCTTTCCTGGAAAAGGAGATGCACCAAGACTCATTATATTTGGCAGCCCTCTGCTGGACTCTCTCCAGATGTTCCCTGTCTTTCTTGAACTGGGGAGCCCAGAACTGGACCTAGCTCTCCAGATGTGGCCTCACCAGGGCAGAGTAGGGGGCAGGATCACCTCCCTCAACCTGCTGAACACACTCTTTTTAATACATCCTAGGATACCAATGGCCTTCTTGGCCACAAGGGCCAACTGCTTGCTCATGGTCAACCTGTTGTCCACCAGGACAACCAGGACTTTTTCCAAAGCTCCTTTTCAGCAGGTCAGCCCTTAAACTGTAGTGATATGTCTGGTTATTCCTCCCCAGGAGCAGGACTCTACACTAGCCCTTCACGAACCTCAGTATGTTCCTCTCTGCCCACCTCTGCAGCCTATTCAATTTCACTGAATGGCAGCACAGCCTTCACTCCTCCCTTTGTATCATCAGCAAACTTGCTGAGGTGCACTCTATCCCTTCATCCTGATCATTGATTTATATGTTAAACAAGACCAGACCTAGTACCAACTTGTGGGGAACACTGGTACCTACAGGCCTCCAACTAGACTCTATGCTGGTGATGACAACCCTCTGAGCTCTGACAGTCTGCCAGTGTTTAATCCACCTTGCTGACCGCTCATCTTTCCCCTTCTTCACAAGCTTACCTGTGAGGATGTTATGGGAGACAAATTCAAAAGCTTTCCTGAAGTCAAGGTAAACAACATCCACTACTCTCCCTGTATCTATGGGAGCCATTCATGACATCATAAAAGACTGTCATAGAATCTTGGAATCACCAAGCGTGGAAATGGCTTCCAAGATCAGTCAGTCCAACTGTCCACTTATCACCAATATTTCCTACTAAACCATGTCCCTCAGTACAACTTCTAAAAGTTTCTCGAACACCTCCAGGGTCAGTGACTCTACCACTTCCCTGGACAGCCCATTCCAGCTTCTGAAGACTCTTTCAGAGAATCTGAATCTCCCCTGCTCCTACTTGAGACCATTCCCTCTAGACCTATTGCTGATCAAATGGTAGAAGAGGCTAACCTCCACCTCCCTTCAGGCAGTTGTAGAGAGAAATAAGGTCTTCCCTGAGCCTCCTCTTCTCTGGGCTAAATCATCCCCATTCTTTCAGCAGCTCCTCAGAAGACTTGTGCTGCAGACCCCTCACTAGCTTTGTTGCCCTTCTCTTTAAATAGTTAGGGGTCTCAATGTCTTGTAGTGAGGGTCCCAAAACCAGTCAAGCATGAATTCCCCTTCATGAATTGATGTTGACTATTCCTGATAACCTCCTTTTCTTCCACTTGCTTGGAGATGACATCCAAATTAAGTTGTTTCATCACTTTCCAAGGGATGGAGATGAGGATGGCTGGTTTTTATTTTTTCTGAGTCCTCCTTCTTGCCCTTTTAGAAGGTTGGAGTGACACTGGCCTTCCTGCAGTCTTTAGACACCTATTGTGAGTCCAAGACCCTCCAAAGATGATAGAGTGGCTTGGCAGTCACTTCTTACAGCTCCCTCAGCACTCATGAGTGCATCCCTTCAGTGTCCATGGATTTGTGTGCATCAGGTTTCTCTAGACAATCATTGAGGAGATCCTCTTCAACCAATGAGAATTCTTTCTAGGAGTATTGTTCTCAACTGAAGGCACACTCTGGATTTTGCCTGGACTGGCATGATGTAATGGATCCTAAAAAGAAATGAGAAATTCTGAGGTGCTTTCTGGCTCCTCAGATGAATAGGAGGTCTTCTACTTCATAGCCACAGCTGAACTTAGGGGGAAGCTTGCTCTTTCTGTTGAGGTAGTCTGTCACAGGCAGTGTTTCCATGTCCTAAAGTTCAGCCACCTCGATCTCTACAAGATATTTTTAGAGAATAAAACATCAACTAAACTCATGGCTTTCACTCTTCTCTCTGGGGTATTTCATTTACCTATTTTTTCACCTATGGACTTGGATTTTTGAAGTTTTACTCCATGAGTGTATCAATGAACAGCAAACCTGTTTATGTATCATTTAGCCTACTTTTTTTTCCTTTCTGAAATGCCTCATTTGCAACATGGCAAACAGCAACAGACTCGTACCTTAATGCATTGCTCTCTGAAAAAATTCCGTGATCTTACATTTGATAATGTATGCTGTGTTCATTTTTTTTTTTCCTGCAGATTAAAAAAAAAAAGTGGCAGAATAAAAAATTCAGGGGATGTGGAACCTCCAAATCCTTTTTGTTTGCAAAAGCTTGTGAGAATAGAAGATTTTGCTTTCCCTGCACATCTAACTTTACATGATTTTCTCTTTTTAGGAAGAAAGGGCGTTTTGTGGTTTGGTCTGCAGATGGCTAAATGGATGATCGTCCCTGTGGGATTTATAAACCAGGCTTTTGGCTTGGTTGGGAATACCTTCTTAAGAGACTGATGCCAGTGTGTTGTTTTTTTTTCCTCTACTGTGCATTTTGTTCTGCTGATCTGTCTTTGGAACAAGTCCTGTGCCAGTTGCTTGAGAAAGAAGATCAATTGGTAATTGACACTAGAGAGAGTCCAAAGAAGATTAAAATAATATCGTTCTTTCTTCTTCTCTTCTTTTATCTTCCTCTCTTCTCTCTGAGTTTTTGTAATTTTACTTACTAGGCAGTGTTATTGTATGCCATAAAAAAGGATATTTTAAAACAAGTGTCTGGCAAAAGGTATACTGGACTTGCTCATTCTTCATAAAATATGAAAGAAGTAATGTGACTAATGTGAAGTCATATTTGTCTACATATAGACATTCACCCAATATTTTTTTAAATTGCTTCTCAAAGTCATGATTAGAAATGAATTGAAATCATTCAAAACAATGCTGCTGCAATGTGAATATATTTCCTATCCAATCTAAGTGGTAAAATTATTCTAAACTTCTCTCCCTATTCAGCAGAAACTGTGACAATGCAAATTTTATTTGCTGACCACGATCAAAAGTTAAATTAGCCAAAGACAACTTTCAGTCTTATGCCATTTACCTGAAAAAAATTATAATAATAGGATGCTTTTAATATAGTTTTAAAAATAAGAAGGAAAAAAAAATGTAAAAAAAAAAAAAAGCAATTGTTTGAGTTTGGGACAGAATAATTTGAGTGTTTTGGAGACCATAGTGTAGTGCATCTTATCTGAATAATTACTTCTTGTTTTGCTTAACAGATGTTTGTTTTTTTTTTCCTTCAGTCATTTATGTCTAGTAAGTAGATGTTACTTTCAATAGCACCACTGGAAAATGATAGAGGGGTGCTAGAGGCAGAGGCTCAGAAGACTGTTCTGCTTTCAGAAACTGGAAAGCTTATTTCTGTTTTGGGGGAATGCACAAGCCGCCATGTTACACCAACTATCCTGAGTTGCCATCCATCTATACTCAGTTGAAGTTCAGAGTTGGAGGCAAGTTGTGTTCAATGGTTTTATTCTCTTCCTGGCATGTCGTTCTTCATGCTGGTGTTGCAGGGCTTGCTCTGCACTCTTAGCTTCTATCTGTTGTAGTATAAATGCTCAGGAGGATGAGTTAATGCTGTGCTATACTGTATGGGTGTTATATGAGAAGCCCACTGCTGTCTTCAAGAGTTTGTTGAGAGCCATTTGTGCTGTTACGTGTTACAAGCATTTTACACAGGAAGACCTTCTGAGAAATCTTTCAGCTTTCCTTCCAAAAATGACTTTGTCTGCTTAGATGATTGGTTGTTTTTTTTTTTTTCCACATGCACATTCACTTTGAATTTTTTCCTATGTTTATTTTCTTACGAAGGTACAGTTGACCTCACATGTTTACCAGCAACAGAAAAAAATACTTGGATAATAATTAAGGACGTCATTTCTGTTCTATAAACTAGTTTGTTTTAATTTAAAAAAGTGCTGAACTCAATTCATCTGGAAGTGAGGGCCTAATTTCTTCAAACAGATAAACATACTACAGACTTTGTACAGCTAGCATGTCTGCAACATTTTATTAACTAACAGACAAGATTGTTTTTTTAAATCCTAGTTAACACTGAAAATATGATTTGATTCTAAATATAAAGGAGAGCTGCAGATTCTAACACATACGCTTTGTTAAGCCTTTCTAATTCTATTCCAAGCATTATGAAAGTCTTATGCTTGAATAAGGCCAAGCCATCTTTTAATTCCTAAACTGGCTGCCATGAAAGGCTAGAAAGTCTTTGATCTGTGTAAAAAAGAAGATCACCAGGGAGAAGTCTCTGCTTCTGTTTGTCCAAATGTTGCAAGCAGAGTCTCTAGGCTATAGCTAACAACTCAAATTATATTTGTTTTTGTCTTAGACAGACTTGCTGATTTGCATATAAAAGGGATTTCGGTGGCAATATCAGCTCTTTCATGGGGTTTGCAACAGAGGAAAAAGGCTAGTTAAATTTTGATCTAATAGACTGGCCTGCAATGATGTCATGTAATTACTATCTATTTATGTAGATACTGCTTGATGTCATGTTTTAAAAGTTATCTTTTGTGTGCAAACCAAGGCCTATAAATACAAGAGTACAAAATGAAAAGAGAGAAAAACTTTCCACAATGAGACAAAAGACTTTGAAATAGAATGGAATGGAATACTATACAATGCAATGCCTGCTTTTCTGGAAGAAATAAAAACAGTGGAGCAATAACATAAGGGAAATTCAACCACAGTAGATGTGTAAAGATGTGTAACTGAAATGGTTATACTTCTTGTATGCAGTAATGTCATTTACAGTCACCTGTAAAAATGGCCTACAATGTTCTTCTGCATATCACTCTCCTGTAGTAATCTTCTTCCCCCAGAGAAGGCCAAACAGTTTCATGAGTAGACCTTTCTAGTCTTTGCTTTCTCTGAAATGGGAATGCATTTCTTCTCTGCCTGCTATACTGATATGCACCCCAAATGCTATCTCTAAATTGATGTATTTGGATAAGTAAATACTGTTATCTCTTCCTGAAAATTTTGCTCTGGTTATCTATATAATGAGAAATTGTTGCAATGATAAGAACTGTTAGGATGTGATCTGGATAATTTTAATGACATCTGAAGAATTCAAAGTAAAACCTATGAAGTTTGTCATCACTGCTTAAGTTGTCAAGTAATAATAGAAAATGGCCCTGGAAAAGCCCTCAAAAAGTCCCCAAGTCCATAAATCAAGATCGTTTATATCTATGTTTTTTTTCAGAAGCATGTTTGTCTAACCTTTTCTAGTGATAGAAATTCTCTGACCTTCCCAGAAAATCTATTCCCAAGCGCTTTTTTAATTTTTAACCTTTGATGCTGTCATGGCTTGTTCTTTCCACCACAAGTAGAACAGTTGATTTTCTTCTTCTTGACAAGAGTTCTTCGTGTAATTGAAGAATGCTATGATCTTTCCCCTCCTTGCCAGCAAACTATTTTTCTCTTTGTGTTTTCTAATCTCTATCCATTTTCTTTGCTCTTTTCTGGAAAAGTGATGAAGCAAAAACATTTGGTACCCTCCTTCTAACTCCGTTACCCTCCTTTCAAGCTTCCTATTAATCTGGGAAGGAGAATGAAGAGAAGACTGTTTGGATACTCACATTCTCTCCTGAAATGCCTGGTGGGCTTGCTCTGTTACTGCTGACTAACTTTACTTTAACATACATCTATCCTTTTGCAACTATTTTTTAGATGTTAATTGAAGTTAGAACTATTGATTCGACCTTAAGAAATAGTTCTTCAGAAATATTTTATCACTTCTACCATGCTAACTGCTTTTATCTGCCTCAGTAGGACAGGCTAGGTCTGCTCTGTTGCAC